TAGTACGTACGTACCGTACTAGTTACGTTAGTAGTAGAGAGAGTAGTAGTAGTGGTCGTGTTGGTAGGTAGGAGGAGGAGGAGGAGGGAGAGAGAGAGAGAGAGAGAGAGAGAGAGAGAGAGAGAGGGTTTAGCTCTTTCTTGAACTGCAAAAAGATGGATGTGGCGCCAATCTTTTCTTTGAAATAGAGGGGCTATGGGCGCCTTTGGTTTGGGGAGGGAGGGAGAGGTTGATGGATTGCTATTATTTCCTGGAAAAATTTTCTGCAAATTTTCCGCTTCTAGCATTTTATCCATCTCCATAAAAATGCATTGATTTCATTCAGCAATAAGTCCATGTATAGTGAATGATCTCTTCCATTTTAGGGAAGATTTTCTTGTCATTTAGGTTCTTTGCACTACACAGCTGAATTGATTCCCATTATCATTTGGATTTTATCTGAACGCTTTAAATCGTTGTCTGTGGTCAATATTCGGACATTTTATTTTTCCTCCTTTTCTCACTGTTTTCATTCAGAGCATTGACTCCATAACTTAACACTGCCATGCTCATTTGGTTCAGTTTGATTTAAAAATCTGGTGAGCTCACTCCTGATTTAGGCATCATTAGTGTTTCTTAGATTTTGATATTTCAAAGAAACTCATGCATCCTATACTTAGGCTGGCCTATGAATTAGCTTGATATCCTTTTTCCTTGTCTTGATCTTCATCAGTAGGTTTGGATTTCCATCATTTTGATAGCTGAGCTTTCCAGTTAATTTTGTATGCATTTGCTTGAATATCCTCTACATCTGATTCTTTAACTCTTCAATTTCTTCCTGTTGATAGTTTAAGAAGCTGATTTTTTCATATCATGTTTGTGGGTTTCTGAGGCTTTTACGTGATTGTTGTGTGCTAAGAGTGTTCGGATTGCAGTTCTCTGATGTAGAAATGTAATGACTGGGAATTTAAGACATATAATGGCTATGCACTACAGAGCATAATGCAGTTCTATGTTTTTCATCAGGAGTATTTATTAGCATAGTTATGTTTACAAAAGATTTTAGGTTCTTATTATGAATCCCAGAAGATATTCAGTTGGTCTTCCTTGTCACAGGAGATGTTTGTGTGAGATATTCCTCTTGTTAGTACGCTTTGAGTTGAACTCCAGCATCAGTGGTGCTAACCTGAAATTGTGATCCTTAGCTGCAGTAAGACTTCTTATATTACTACAAGGAATGTATACTGTGATACTCATACCAAATTGCAAATATGGTGCATAAAATTCTGATTTCTAACTGTCCACTTTTGAAATAGATTGTCATAGGTGAAGTGACCAGCCAAGCCAGTAATCTGGGATTAGTTTCTGGCCATGGCAGTAATGGCTATCATCTATAACCATCCATATTGGAAGAGGGCGTGAGTTCCCTATGTGCCATTCCTACAACCTTGCAATATTACCATTGTATGCAGGTTCTTCACACCCAACCAAGAGGAGCATGCAGCATGTAATTTTTTAAAGCATACATATCCCTCTTCTTTGTATGTGGTCATCAGTATTTTGAAAATCACTGAGCTGGCTCGGAACTGGTGGGACCTGTTTGTTTCCCCCAGTAATTGGGACTTGGACAGGTTCACTCTAAAATCCATGTTTCAAATGAGTTTTACATTATAAAACTTTATCTTTTAGACTGTATTTAGATTTGAAATAACACTGAAAAGGATTTCAATTCCAAACATGTAAAACCTTTGTTGTTGTTTTTTTAAAATAATTCACCGGGTCGGCCGAGCTGGCTTAGAACCAGCAGGTCACTTATTCTGTTGCTCGAGCTGGTCTTTTAAACACTGGTGCTCACCATCTTCAGGTTGGCCTTTATTCTCATGGGAAGTAATGGTTTTTCTGATCTTTTGATATCAGGAATCAAAGTCTTAGAAAGATGCCTCTTCTTAGGTTTATTTTGTTTCTCAGGATCCTGACTCAGGAGAACATTGTAGATAGGAAATTTGAATCTTAATTTCAATGGTGACACTGTTGTTGATCTGGTCCCTGTGAAGTGGTTTAAGAATGGGGAAGTAAGTTCTGCAGGCATTAGGATGATCTCTAGCTTCATGACCACACAAAAGTGCAAAAGAGAGCATTTTTAATAGGGCTACATTTGTTTTGTAAGCACCAGCACAGACCTTATATTGTGGAAGATGATCTGTGGCAATGCGATTAAATGAGCAAAACAAGTAGTTGGAGTGCCTTTAAGGATTGTGGGTGGCAGAAAGTAATTCTATGGGATTAGTGAGCCCTTGGGTGTTTCATTGTGCAATATGTATGAGGCATGATCGCTATGTCATTATTAACTTGCCAGAGAGGTGGTGCTAAACAGGGTTCTAACTAATTGGGATTCCATTCTTTTATTCTAGAATTGTAGCAAGTGAACATCCTTTAAATTATTTTGAACTGCCATTCATTGATGGAAAATGAATCATAAGAGAAGCATGTAGCTGTTCAAATACACACGCAGAGAAATATGCAATACATCTGTATTCCAGGAAGAATGCTGTGCTTTATGTTTGTCGTTCAATTTATAGGTCAAATTCATGCAATTATCTTAGCTCCTTGTTGAGTTGTGCTGTAGTTTTTAGACAAATAGATTTTGGCATTGACATTAATCCCATGCTTTTCACCATTGCACTTCAAGGATTGCCTCTTGTAGCCTATTATTAGTGATTGCAGGCCTTGTACTTCTTTTCATACTTTTTTTGTGCAAAATGCTCCTGATTGATGTCATTATATTCATTTGTGTGGAAGCAGGTTTTATGCGATGTTGAATCTGGAAAGGAGTTTTTACTGTGTGATTACAATCGAGATGGTGATTCACACAGGTATCTAATTGGATGGATTCTTCCTGGAATTTTTCATTTGCAAGTTTTCGAATGAAGTTTGTCAGACAATATTGTAATTACGTAATTCTTGATTCAGGCAGACATAATATAGTGTATTGTTACAAATTACAACCTTAGGAAGAAAGTTATCTGGTTATCTTTCCTGGCATTGCATTTTAATGCCTATGTTTCTCTTGTAGATCTCCTTGGTCAAACAAGTACCATCCACCCTTGGATGATGGATGTCAACCGTCTGCTGATTTGAGAAAGCTTGAAGTTGAAGCCAATGATGTCTTTGCAGTTTATCGTGACCAGTGAGGTCCTTTGCTTTTCTCGTCCTTTTCTGTATTAGTAGTAACTTGGTGCATAGTTGATTCAATTTTTTCAAATTAAGCTCTACGATCTATTTATTTTCTTAGATAGTGGTCCCTTTAAGGGATTTTTGCACTTACTTCAATCATTGGAAGTTAGAAAGGCAGCTCCCTTTTTCTTGGGACGTAATAGCCACTTGCGGGCATGCCTTTGTTGGTAGGTACTATGAGGGGGGAATATCTTCTGTGTACATGTGGGAGCCGGATGAAGGGGAAGGCTTTGCATCTTGCTTTTTGATAAAGAAGGGTATGTATCTGGCCCTCTGTATATTGATTCCAAAACTGCTGTTTCTATATTTAAATGGAATCATTTACTCATATCTACAACATGGTCTTTATGGGTAAGAAGATGGTTCAAAGTCCGGTCAAGGGCGCAGAGGTTACTTGCAAGAAGGTTTATGGGATGCCATTCATGTTATTGAGGTCGGTTGCTTTTTTGTGAGATTAAAATGTCATATTAATTTCCTTGACTGAATTCTGTTTTTTTCCAGCAAATTCTGTTGGCATTTGACTTGATTCATCTTTTAGAAATTGCATGTTCCATTTTGCTTTTTTCTGAGAACTTCTAATGATCATTTCACTAGGTGGGAGCTGAAGATGAGGGGACAGCGCGTTACCGCTTAACTAGTACTGTCATGCTCTCACTGACTACCAGTGATACGGATGCGGGTACCTTCAATTTGTCTGGTTCGATTACTCGGCAGGTGAGATTTCTTGTACAACCATGTTCACATTTTATCTATGGGTTAACTTTCATTTTCTGGTCACACCTTATGAGCTTATTACTTAAATACTTTGTAGGATGATTTTTAGCCACTTCCTTATAATCACTAAGTTTTGTCCGTTTATCTTTTTTTCCTTAATATCATTAATCACATTCCAAGTTTTAATGTGTTATCTATTTCTTGTCTTTATGCTTGTATCAACTTATTACACAGTTCATCTTTTAATTTGATTGTTATGCGTCATTGCATTATATTCATGTGAATAGAATGGTATGCAATCTGCATGCAGATATTCGTAGAGCTCATGTTGTTTTTATTTGTTGATTTGTTTTATAAGCTGAGATTGATGTTTTCAGGAGTCAAGTTCTTATTCATGGATTAGTTTATTGCTCCCTTTGCCTATATATCCATCAGTAAGTTGGCCTGCTGAAACAAACATCAGCATGTCTTGATATGGTCAGTGACCACACATTTCTTGAATATTGGGATTCAGATGCATATTCCACAAAAGCTATAATTTTATCAATGAACATTCTTTTTAAATGCCCCCTGTATCCTATTTTTCTGGCGCAACTTCTATACTTCTAATATGTAAATACAGCACCAGAAAATATTTGCTCAAATATCCCTATCATATTGAAAATGTCAATATTTGTTCAAGGACATTCCAGATAGGTCTATCTCAATAATGTTTAAAAAGTGGTAAACAAGATCATGCCTTTGAAGATGAGGAGAACTGTAGGAAATGGCACGGCATGACACGGCAAGAACCATGTCATGGCATGTCATCTGTTTTTTCACTTATCTAATGCACCGATGAATATAACTTTCTCTGCCAAGTTTTTGCATGGACTTTCAGACGGCATTAAACTGGCAGGCATACTGTGCCCTATTTTTTCCAGTTTAGGCTGGCCAAGTCTGATCTTGTAAAAACATTAAAACTGGCTGGACTTCATCAGTTAAACTACCCATGTCATTTGGTTTTGCTTACACTAGTCAATTGTTTTTGCTTTTCAATAAATAATAATTAACTATTATGATCAAGGTTGGGGTCTCCATCTAGTTATTCTACAAGTTTCCAAGAAACATATGTTTCCAAAGAAATGGCTTCTTCAGAACAACCAGTTTGGACAGAAATATGCTTGGCTTAAGGTGCTGCAAATGGGCGACTGTATTGGTCCCTGAGAACCAGTTAGTTTTGATATTTGGCCAATTTAACCCATTTGAGTTATCTAATTGCTAGATTAGGTTTCTTATTCTGATTTTAGGTTGATTTCTGTTCCAAGGCCCAAATTAGATCCAGTTATTTTTGAACTGTCAAGTTTCAACTTTAAATAACCATACTAGGCTGTTGAGTTTTGAATAAGCATTTGTTTTCAGGAGGTCCATGGAAAATGAGATTGCGTTGGATACAAAAAGAAATTTTTATTAGAAGTATAAGCATTGTTTTCCCTGTTTTAGCTGATATTGGGCACTGATCAGGATCATGTCATGGTTTGTGGACAAGGACAAATATTTTGAGTAAACTATTTATCAATTAGACATAGAAAAGGTGAAGGTTCTTAATTTAGGAAATCATGTCCATGTTATAACCTTCATTGTTTGGGAAAGATGGGGTACATGACACAATGCATCGGTGAATACTGTGATATTAAAATGATGGAAATAATACCCACCCCCTGATACCACTCTCAGCTTTTGTATGGTTGATATTTTTGATTTTCTATATAATGCTGAGATGTCCAAGTAGTTAGTAGTCTCAGGTATCGTCTCCAACATTCATGCAATCCCTTAGGGACCCATGGACACCCACTGACCAATTCCCATTTCCATCGTCAGGGTGTTATAGAAAGATGTAAGGGAATGTTGAGCCTGTTGACGTATGCTCGTGATTGTGCTTTTCACTCCATCCAACTTGTCTCTGATTGACCACTAATTTTAGCAATACATGGGGTGCCATACAAACTGCTATTGAAGTTGTATCTGATAGCCCCTTTGAGATGCCATTTCCATTTCTCCAAGACTTTCCATATCAAAGCTTCACTTATTGTCTATGTGTTTCTTAGACAGGGATGCAGAAAAATCCGTCCACCACATATCGTAAGTATCAGACATAAAAACCAAAAAAGAAGAAGAAAAAAGACCGAACCAAAAGGTTCATACAAGTATATAATATAAAAACTGGATTCAAATAAAATAAAATCTAAAAATTATAAGAAATTTGAACTTTGTGAGAAGCCCCTTATGTTATAGTTTAATTTTGGAAAAATTCATAACAAATAGAAATAATAGAAGCACCTTGCCAGAATAGTAGGAGCTTCTTGTAGGGAAAAATGTGTATGTATAAACTTCCAAAATGTGTATTGGAGAACACGAATAAGTTTCACCAATGATTGCATTATTGCTTGGTTTTTTACCCTCTATTAATAATAAAATATTCAAGAAATAATAACATGCTCGATTATATCAAATGCTATGATTTAACACGAGGTCAAGGGTTGAAATTCTATATTTGAAATTTCCTTGATCCATGTCTGAAGTATTGGACACATTTCACTGTGCCCAACACCACAAAATGCTGTAATGTGCTTGTTATATGTTCCCCAACTCTAAGGAGATGACCCCTCTTCAAAAAGAGCCCTTCTCCATAGACAAACTTTCTTTTCTGGTTGGAGTCTTTCATAGCACCCAGACAACCAAAATTAGTAAGCAAACATGTCGTGTATGACTTGGTTTTCTATTCTTGAGATGCTTAAATGGTGGAATGGATTTCCTTTGAGAGTTATCTTACAAACTCTTAAAGTGCCATTGATGTATAACTAGTGATTTGTATTTTATGTTTTTCAAACTGATGTATATATTGGTTAAGAATGACAAACAGAGATGCCATGTACCTACTTTGAGCAGCAATTTTTTTTTCTCTTCGGATCATTAATTGTTTGCAATCAATGCAGATGATTTTGGACCTTGCTGTTTCAGAGGGTCATCTTTGTAACATGGGGAGGATGATAGAAGAAATGGAGGGCAAGCTAAGGAATTCACTCGATCAGGTATTCTCTCATTTTTCACTTGTCATTGCAATTGCAAGGAATGCAGAAAACCATTCAAATATTACAAAAACTGAAATCAAAAGAAATAGGGAGGAACTATGATTATGCCACTATCTTTGAGATGTTTTACTGAAAATTGCCTTTGTTCTAGAACTTTTTAGATCTTAGATACCACTAATGTTCTGAAGATTGCCTTTTTTAGTGACCAAAATGCACAGCTTTAGAAAGAGTTCTCTACCATCAGTTTATCCCTGCAACATAGGGAGGCGGCCTGAGAATATTGCCACTGCCTCCCTAGAATAAGGGACTTCAAGAAAGGTCTTCTTTCATGTGTGTGTGTGTGTGAGAGAGAGAGAGAGAGAGAGATGGTGTAAAATTGGCTGTTTGACACAGGTTTATTTTGGTAAGACAAAGGAGATGGTTTTCAGTCTACGACGACCTCCTGACATGATGCAACAACAGCAAGACAATTTACTTGTAAACTACTCTCACTAAAAAAACACATGCACAGATTTCTGGTCACATCATTCTGCATATTTTTACCACTGTAAAGTCATTTGTAGATCTGGGTTTTTGTTGTGCTCAGAGTCATTTGTAGATCTGGGTTTTTGTTGTGCTTAGAGTCATTTGTAGATCTGGGTTTTTGTTGTGCTCAGAGTCATTTGTAGATCTGGGTTTTTGTTATGCTTAGAGTCATTTGTAGATCTGGGTTTTTGTTGTGCTCAGGTTGATATCTTCAATCCCTATTATCACATTAAATCTTTTTTTTTTGGGTCAGCTTATAGCATAAGATTTGTAATATCAAAGCCTTCTCAAACTGGACTGGTAATGTTCATCTGAATGGTCTTCTTGCAGCAGACTTTCTATGAGTTTGTAAGTTTTAGTGTATTGATGGAGCCTAGTAATGCTAGGTTGCTTTCTTTGATTCCTCACTGCCTATTTATTTTGTTTTAATTTATAAATCGATAATTTTTTTTATTTTTATTATCATTTATTTTATTTTATTTTTTAACTAATATATGCCTTGATAAAAACAAGTCGCCTTTTTTAGGATATCCTGTCAGCAATTAAAAAGAGCCTTGGCTTTAGGTGCAGTCAGGGTCCTACCATAAATAGCCACTCTAGATCATTTCCAACAATTTTTGGCTTTTTCCATGATAAAGTTTTTTTTTTTTTTCGTAAAGCCAAAACCCTGCCATTGGTGGCATTTTATGAAAATCGGGGTTCTATTTTCGAAATTGCACTTGCAAATAGTGGCTAGCAACATTTTGGCAAATCTTGGGTAGCTCTATTTAGCGGGGGAAAGTAGGGCCATCCAAATGGGGCATTGAGTTCTAAAGGAAAATGTCTATATAGAGCCGAGGCTCTAAACAATCAAATTAGAGCCCACCTCAATAATTTAACTTGAAGAGGTTGTTTTGATGTCCAAATATCTTCAAATTGATCATCTCGACATCAAGATGCATGGGCATGAGAAAAAAATGGATTTCAAGTTTTGGAAATAGTGCATCTAATGCATTTTTGAATCGTCAATTTTCAAAATTTCAAGTTTTATAGATCTACTTGAACAACACTATTTTTGAAACTTTAAATTTTATAATTAAAGATGAAAATATATTTTAAGTCTATCATAAAGATTTCCAATATTGAAGTCACAGTTCTCGATACTAATTGAAGATGCGCTTTACGTTCATTATTTAGAGCCTCGGCTTTATACAAACTGCACCCATTTCTAAAAAGTGCCCTATTTACATCAAATTTTAAAAATTAAGTTGATTGGTTTAAACATCCATAGTTGACTTGCATTCGTTGAGGCTATCACAAAGATTTTTAGTATTGAAATCACAATTCTCGATATCGGTTCCATACAAAATGCACCCATTTCTAAAAAGTGCCCTATTTACATTAAATTTTAAAAACATTAAGTTGATGGGTTTAAACATCAATAGTTGATTCCCATTAGTTGTGAAAGGCTTCAATGATGATGGTGTTTAAACATCAATAGTGCGGTGCTTATTTAAAAAATAAAGGATTTGAGGTTCTAGCAAAAAATAATAATTAATAATAATTAATTATGAGTTTTGTGTTCCATTTTATTTTAAATGAATTTATGCCATTGCTAAACAATTGTATCATTAATTATTTTTTAGAATTTTAATGACCATTATATATAAAAAAATTAGGGAAAAATAGATATCCCATGGACCCTGCTCTCTAGGCATACCTCCCTCTAATTTTTTTTAAAGCACACCACTATCATCAATATTTCTTATTTTTGCACCTACCCCAAATAAAAGAGTAGGTTTTTTAATATGAAAATACTTCCAATAACTGATGCTTATTTTGAGAAAAAAAAATCAAGCTTGTCCGGCGGCTAACTTTAATAGGGACCAAAAGCAAGTTCGACACACATTGTGTTGTATTGGATTCATTTTTTAAAGCAACACTGATCTGGTACAATGTGAGGCCGGACCGCCTTCTATAGGGACTATATGTAAGATAGCTTCATTTAAATAAATAAATAAATAAATAAAACGGGTTGGGGAGTGGGGTTGAGAAAAACACGGGTCATAGGTGAGTACTTGTCCTAAAAAGATCACTTTTTTATGTAAAAAGGTATGTACAAAAATAAATAACGTTGGGGCTAATGGTGCGGTTATAGGTATTGAGTTGATGGGGGCAACGGCTAAAAAGTGGGGTTATATGTATTGAGTTGAGCAATGGCTAAAAGGTGGGGCCCGGGGGGTATCTATAATAATTTTCCCAAAACAATTAAGATTTTACATTATGACATTCTTTGTTAATGGTTACCACAAATTTAAAGCAAAAAGTTTAAAATTCTAGGAAAGACGTAAGATTAAAGTTATACTTTTCTTGCTAGTAGGTTAGAGATAGAGAATTTAGGATTGTTGAGCCCCATGGTGGGGTCTCTACTCCATTCTCATAACAAAGGGTAGGGGCCCTAATACCCACCAACATACCATTTTTTGAGAGTGGCCTGGGCTTTGGTGTTAGTATTGTCGAGCTCTATGGTGATGTCTTTGATTCCATTCTCATCAAAAGATAGGGCCCTAAATCCCATTGACTTGCCAATTTTTTCTCTATTCTCACCAAAGGATAGGGGCCTAAATCCCCACTAACTTAAGGCTCAAATCCCCACTGACTTGCCATTTAGGACCGAAGTTGGGGTCATGGTTTTCATTCCTAGCACTAACACCACCCCAATAACACCTTCAAAAATTTAAGTCCTAATCTACTTAAAAAAATGAGTAAGACATGTCTTCCCACTTAATTATCAAAAAAAGAATAATGCAATGCGAGGAAAGATGTGGTACTGTATCCTTACCTAACATAATCTAGATAAATTTAGGAAAATTGGAGGAAAAAAGATTGTGTAGAAGAATTGAAAATTCATACTCCTATTTATGTTTTTAGTTTCAAATACTTGAATTAAAAAAAAAAAAAGATTTTAGCAAAGGAGTATAAACAAGAGTGTGACTTTTGAATTTTCCTCTTCTTTTTCCCTCCAAAAATCTTGCAGGACTTTTCGCAGGTTAGGTCCACTTCCTTTGATTTCCTTTTCCCTTCATTTTGCTGAATCTTGTAGACCTTTGTATAGTGGAGGCCCACTTAGTGCCTTGCAGTTCATCGATTCAAGTAGCGTGTGTCCCTCCTGTCTAAAGTGGCCTCGCCCAAAGGACTATTATTTCTCATGAGTAACATTATCGTTTCGACGGTATGGTTTTAGGGAAAGTATATAAGTAGATCATTTACCTTTTGATATAGGTAGTCCCAATTAATCTTGACAATTGGATGTAAAATTGGGTGGCTGCATTTATTTCACTAACCAAACTCAAAATTTTAAAAAAAAATTTTTTGAACTTTATGACACACTCATTTACCTTTGATATAAGTAATATTAGATAATCCAAAAATTAGTCCGAAAATTAAATATTAGATAATCCAATTTTTTGATGGTCCGATCTGAAGTTTTAAGATCTTATTTTTTATTTATTCATGGAAATGCTCTTATGATGATTCAGAATTCATCCCAAAATTTGAGATAGGGCGAGCCTCTCTTTTTTTGGCCTTTATATATATGCAAGGTTTCATTTACGACATTTTGAAGAGGCCGTGGATGAATAAGGAAGGTGTAGATAGGGTTTAAATGAAGGGTTTTGGGGAGATCTCGACCCAAGTCCAATCAACTCTTAGCCTGTTAGACACGTACATAATTGAGTCGGTGCAAAATCCCTATGTACCGATTTAGGTCTAAGTCCCATTTTTGCTTGGCACCCACTAGTTCTGACTTCTGAGTGATCTTTTTCTTTCTACTTTTTTTTTTTTTTAATTTCTAAATAAAAAACGCTGAGAAATTTTAGGCCGGCTGGAAAATTTCAAAATATTTTTTTTAAATTTCTAAATAAACAACGCTGAGAAATTTTAGGGCGGCTGGAAATTTTCAAAATAGCTCAAGATTTGTGGTTGACTGATTCAGTTTAATAGTTGGATAGAGAGTCTATGATTCAACTAGCCATTAAAAAAGACAAACTTGACTTTTAGTTGTCCCAAGAAAATCCAATATATTAAAACACATTCAGCTTAGATTTAGGTTTCGCAAATGTCATTTCTCATTCTATCTCAAAAACACTTTCAACAATAAAAGAATAAAAACCACATTCAACAATAAAAGAAATATATTGAGCTCAGGTTTTGCAAAAAGAAAAGGTGGAAACACATTCAACAATAAAAGAATGGGAAAATTAAAAAAAAAACTCAAGATCACACTTTCTATGCAACTTACCCCGAACATAAGTTTTGTTCTCACTTTTCCCCAAAAAACACACTTCATATAAAAATAACCCCCTAAGGAAAAAAGTTCATTTTTTTAGACGGAAATACAAATTAATTTGGTCAGATTTTACGTTGACTTTCGGAGCTCATTGCCGGAGCGAACTACCGTAGTGCCGGAACGCAAGATCCATTGTCAGAGCACACATACACAGTGCTAGAGCGTTGTGACTCCAGATTACACTGCCGGAGTGCACTTACACAGTGCCGGAGCGCATGATCCACTGCCAGAGTGCACATAGACAGTACTGGAGCGTTGTAACTCCAAAGTGTTGCACTGTCGGAGCGCATCATCTACTGTCAGAGACGCACATACATAGTGCCGTAGCGCTACGAGTCCAGATTACACAGTGCCGGAGCACATGATCCACTACTGGAGTGCACATAGACAGTGTTAGAGTGCTGTGACTGCAAAGTGTTGCACTGTTGGAGCCCACTTACACACTACCGGAGAGCACATCTATTGCCGGAGAGCACATCTACTGCAGGAGCGCACATACACAGTGCTGAAGCACTGTGACTCCAGATTCCACTGCTGGAGCACATCATCCAATACCAGAACGCACATAAACAGTGTCGGAGCAATGTGACTTCATAGTGTTGGACTACCGGAGCACACTTAAACAGATGAGAGAGAGGCATACGCAAGGTAAAAGTAAGGGAGGGTAGTTAAGGTTTTTTTTTTTATTTGGTTAGGAAGTATTGGCATAGAAAGTGTATTTTTGGAAAAAAAGTGAAAAAAAAAATTAGATTAAAAGTAAGTTGCATAAAAAATGTAGTCTCGAGGTTTTTTATAATTTTCTCAAAAAAAATACATTGACACCCGGATTTGTAAAAGGAAAAAGTGAAAAAGGTCAGTTTTATAACGAGTTAAATGACTATCATCAAAGTATCAATATGTCATATTTATTTGTGTTGGTCTGGTAGCTTCTTCCCATAATATTATTCTAGTTCGTGTTGCTACTTTTCCGAATATTATCCTACTTCGTGTTCCTCCTTTCCGGAGTAGCAAAAGTTAGTTTATGCGGCTTCTTCTA